GATATGGAATCTTCTTTTATTTTCTTTGGTCATTGTTTTGTATTTCTGCAAATTTACTGAAGGATAACTCAACATAAGCATTTAAGTTAAATTGACTCGAATATTCTTAAGTAAGAAGTGTCAATATGCTTAATTACATATCATGGGTCAGCCGATGTCATTCCATGGCAGTGTGCTTTTTCATACAATTCCTATTCTTAACCAAGGTCTTTTGTCAAACGGTCAATAATGTCCACATGAACTTCTACTTTCACTAGTACCACTACTTTTAAATTTTGTTGTGCTGCAAGAGATAAAGAATGGAGATAAGATGCAAAATGCAGTAATGTCATGGTTTTCACTTGCTCAAGGCATGCCTTTTGCGAAAGAGTTTGTATTGAATCTTGCTACATTTTGCAGCTGCCTGTATGACATGGGATTTAGCAGAATCAGGCAAGCACTACATTACGACTATTATCAATGGATCTGACCTTGTGCCTACTTTCTCAGCTACTTCTGTTGATGAGCTTCATTCGGAGGTGCAAAATATCCTTCTCCTAATTAAAAGTCATTATCTGGTAGATATGTTTATTCTTTAAATGCTGTTGCTCACAATTGTTGTTATCTGGTCACAGCATCATCTTGGTTAAATGATTTGTGGGACCAGGTTCAACAAACTCGGTTCCTGAGTGTTGTTTTTCATTCTACGACAGCATTGGGCTCCAGTCTGCCATCTACTGCTAGTGCAAAGGCAAGAGTTGCTGGTGCTGGTGCACTCCTATGTCCTGTTTCAAGCAGTACTAAGGTATACATCTGCAGCATTGATAATTGACTACCCTCTCCTATCAGACTGTTCCAAATTGTATTGAGTACTTTTTAATTGGTTTTCCAAATTCTAACAAGTGTATGTGAACTAAAGGGATGTTAAATTCTAACCAGAAGTGTTTGTGTGGGCTGAAGGGATGTTAAATTCTAATTCTAACCAGAAGTGTATGTGGGCTGAAGGGATGTTTTGACCCTTTAGCTTGAGTTTTTAAGTACTCATGTACTTACTGACAACAAAAATTCTGCATGTCCGTTCTATCCTTTTGTTTCATTTGGTGCTCCAGTTAGGATTATGATTAGGAATTGTTTGTTTGTGAACTGTAGGTTGTGATGAAGGGTGCCCAGAATGTCACTCAAGCAGTTGTAAGAAGCCACTCGACTCTATCTGCATGCATCGGTCCACGTTGCCATAATGTGGTCCCAACATTGAACTCCAGGGAGGAAGACTTGCCAGAAGCTTCAGTAATTACTGGAAGAAGTTCTGAAGTTGTGAAACCCTTGTGACTAAAGTGGTAATTACAGACTAAGTACAAAATGAATTGGAGATAATTCACATGGTGGATTGGGGCATGATGACACAGATGAAGATGAGCCTCTGATTGCAGAGAATGGAGTAATGATTACAACCACCATGGATGAGATTACTGAAGGGGAGTTGTGGTATGAACTAGAGAAGGAGCTTGAGAGGCAGAAGAGTGAAGTTGATCTCCAAGCCCAGGCAGAAGAAGCAGCAGCAGCAAAAGAAATAACTGAGGTGAAAGTTCTGGGTGATGCAGGAAGGGAAAACCCCATCTCTTCCTTGGATGTTTCAGAGAACCTCCGGTTCTATCTCCCAGGAAGAATCATGCATATGGTTTCTGGACCTTTAACTGAAACCACTATTCTAGATCCTGACGCACTTCCCAGAGAAGAACATGTAGGTATATACGAGACACCTAGAGAATTGTACAGTAACTTTCAAGAACAATGATTAATGATCATTATATGCCAATGTGCAAGAAAATTATGGAATTGTTATTGATGGAACTAGAAAAGGGTGAAGCTTGCTGTCACAGGATTGAATATCAAAGTAAAAGAAAGTATCGCATTTGCTCCATCTGGATCGTCTAACATTTCTGTTGGAAACATAGAGAAAATTTCTGTTGGATCGTATAACATAGGGAATTGGATCTCTGGTTTTGTGGTTAATGTTGGTTGTGCATCCATTTTTATAGTAGAGTTATGGGGTCTTAGGGAGGAACTCAAGTTAGGCAAATCACTTGGAATAGCTCATGTTGTGGCTGAGATGGATTCACTTGTGGCAGTTAGATTCAAAATGCAGAACAGAGAACCAGATAATTTGTCTGCAGTCCTTTTGATGGATATTAAAAGTCTGATGTCTGAATTTGAGGAATGCGTACTGCAACATATTCTTTGGGAGGGGAATGCTGCTGCTGACTTCTAGTGTCCCTTGGGCATTCTTCAGAACCTGGTATAAGTTTTCTGGATTCTCCACCGACTGGCTTGTAGCCAATCCTTACAGGGGATCAGCTGGGGGCTTCTTTCCTCCGTTTCTAGTTTCTTATTGTTTTAGTTTAATTTAATTTCCTCTGACTTACCAAAAAAAACATAGAGAAAATTATTGCTTATGGCCGCTCTCTTTTGGAAGTGGAGAAAACAATATCAATAAGTGGTGCCGTGGTGGGGTGTTAACTCTCTGCTTTTACTAGTAGTCTGGTACTGGTTACAAACAAATTTTGTAATATTGTGAAAGAATTTTTTTTTAGCATTTTGCTAATTTGTGAAAAAGGGCGTTCATCGTTTCAGCTGAGGCTCAAAGAAAATAAAGTTTCATCTTTGATTTATAAAATATAGATTTCTCTAACGCGGTAGTTTGAAGGCACGGGAGGTTTCAATCCCACATCCGTAGCAGATGAAGGAATATGTTGAGACGAGCTTATAAAGAAAAGGTGTAGATAAGATGAAATCTTTACTCGTCCTGTCAGGGGGGGGCGGATGACTCGTCAATGAACGATAAGTGATGGCGTGTCGTCCGAACGCTCTGCGTCAGAACTCAAATTGGGTTAGATGAGTTTTTGGAGGCCTGGCCTTTGAGGTGAGGCTACCAACACAAGTCGAATAATTATAATTGCACGGAGGGGGCTGGCTTTGTAATAAGATTCTTCCAAAATTGGTTAATTCCATAATTGGTCTAATTTCAATTTAGTCTAAAAACTTAGTTTTCTTTTTAAGTAGTTTAGTAACTAAGAAATTTTTTTAAAATAAAGTATAAAATTTTTAAAATATTTCAGAATAGAAATTCTATTAGTTTTAATAGAAAAATAACAAAAAAATTAAATCAAAATCAAAATAGAAATAGTTCAATAAACAAAGCAGTTCACGGTAAATAGTTATTAAAATATATAAATAATTATGATTTTTACTAAAAAAAAAATTGCTAAACCATAATAGAATGTGACAGTTATTAAAATATATTAATAATTATAGTTATTATTAAAAAAATTATTAAAAGGGAAAACTGAAATAATATTTGATAAAAGTTACAGTCCCTCAAATAGTAAAAAAGAACTTATCATCTTTATAAAATTAATTTTATCTTAAAATTAATTTTAAGAATAAAAATTCACAAAAGATATAGTTGAAGGTCAATTTAACCAAATGGAGTGAAATTGTTAGTAAAAAATTAACATACTAGACAATTAAAATAAAAGTGAAAGATAATAGATGAATGTGAAAGTATATAAAGATAATAGACCAATCAGACCAAAATAACAAATGATCACTACAAGAAAATCCATATTTAGTGACTCAATTATTAGTCACTAAACTTTTATTTTTCGTCACAAACTAAAATTAGTGATTAAATTAAAATAATTAATAAAACTCTTGTCACTAATGCTCTTAGCGATGAATTTGAAATTTGTCACATTAAAGAATTTTATAATAATGAAAAAAAATCTACATTATTAATGAGTTATTTGTAATAAATTTAGTCATCACAAAAAACTATTTTTTGTTACAATAATTTTCATCACAAATGTTACAACTGAGTGACAAAAAAATAGTCACAAAAGCAACTATAATGAAAAATTGTCATTAATTATTAAAATTGATATTAAATCAAAAAGATATTTATATAATTACAACACAAATATTGTAAAAAAAATTATGTCACAAAAAAATTGATATATGAATTTATTGCAAGAGTTTAATAAAAAATATTATTATTTCAATACTAATCAATTTTGATTAAAATTAATCAAGTCCAATTAAAATTAATCAAACTCAAACTAAACTTAAGTTTTGTTAAGCTTCGCATGTTTTATGGTACAAAACTTTATTTTCTTAAATATTTCTTATCGATGTGAGATATATTTATAATGCAAAACCTTATTTTCTTATGTGTTTTTTACCAATGTCACATGCATTGATTAGAAAATACTTAAATAAGGCTAAATTGTAGTGATGATTTTTATCATCACAAGTATGTATTTTTTTTTTTTGACAATTTTTAGTGACTATTTTTAATGATCAATTATTTAGTTATCATTGAATGTGTAAGGTATATGTGATCAATATTTGAAATTTGTCTTAACTGGGATGAATTATAGTGATGATTTTTATTGTTACAAACTTATTTTTAATTTTTAACAATTTTTTAGTGATGAAATATCTTTTTAATGATGAATTTTTTTTATCATTATTGAATATACTTGCATTTGTGATTAATTTTTAAATTCTATCACAAATGTAATGAGTTATAGTATTGATTTCAACATTTGTCACAATTTTTTGTCACTAAAAATCCCATTTCTTGTAGTGTATACAAAATTAATGTGTTCCTCACGTCAACTTTTAACTCTTTTATGTTTCTACCGCGGTAACATTCTTGAAAAATCATCATATCCTGCAGTTACCGTATTTCTACATTCTTATTTGCACACAGAGATGCATAGTAAACCATCCAACAAGAATATTAACTCAATTTGCCTCCATAGTTAGTGAATTAATTGTATGTAGATCATATTACTTTCTCTGCCTAAGGCATGCTGTTTTGGATTCCCTGTAGTGTGTTGGCAGCTAAGAACCTTGGTGATATTGCATACAACAACATCTGGATCACACATTACATGGAGATTGTAAGACGACTATCTGTACATATTTAGCTACAACAAGTTCAGGCATCACGGAAGAGGAGCCACCAGAATCCCTCAAGACCCTTCTCATTTCCCTTTTATTGGCTGGTTCGGATACGCTGAGTGAAACTTGTGTGAACAATATTAAAGTATCAGCTGTTCCCATTTTATTCTAACCCTATCGAATATGATATGTGTTAATCCTTGGCGAGATCTACTTACAGTACGGTTTACGGATTGGTAGCCTTTCCTCTGGCGAGGCTTCCAAAAATTAACGAGCCAACACCTAGCACCAGCTGAGCTCGCCTTGCTTAATTGTTCACCTACACCCTTGACGCGACAAGTTTAACTACTTGAAGGACATACACCCTTAAAGAATGCCACTCTTAAAGAATGTCAGTTGACCATATACAATATGAGCTGTGTTACTCATGGTATGGCTAGAGCAACATCAAATGCCTAACTGGCCGAACATCAAATGCCATATTGGCCGAACCTAGATCCCATACAAGTTTCCTACAAGGAATATTTCAACTGGGGTTCGTAGCCACACCTCGACAGCCCCGCATCCAAGAATTAATGGAGGGCGTTGAACGCCCCAACCTTATATTTGGATCATTGATGGACTTTTCCTCCGCCTGGCAGGACTCTTAAGAGTTGAGAATTCTATATATACACCCTTTCTTTATAGGCAAAACCATAAGTTAAGCCCCTAAACTAACCCCAGAATCGCTATTAAACGCCTAGACTTTAATTGATGCATATAAGCCCTTAAACTCTGCTATCAAAGCAATTAAGCCCTTCTTCTTACGGCCAACTTAAGTGCCGTTTGGACTTGCTCGCATGGCTTAACTGCCGTTTATGCTTGGCTGCTTGGATAGCAAAATATTGTCATGTCATGGTTATATGGTAAGGGATTTAACATTTGAGTAGGATTTTTTACTTATTTAATCATTTAATTTTTTGTATTAAATAAAGTAATTGACTTTATAAATTTTTTTATGTAATTCATTGTAATTTAATTTTAAATTAATTAAAACTAATATAACTTTTAAAATTTGAAAGTTTAATAAAAAAAATAGTATCACTTAAAATGAGAAATTCATAATTACATGATATATGATATTAAATAAATATAATAA